ATATAAAAATACAAATATTGAATATTTATAACTAAAATAACTAAGTAAAATCTAAACTAAAAATCTACTTTGTAACAGTATGCTGAGTTAATTATGTCAATGGTAGTATTGAGATGAGTAGATATTGGTATTAGATTCCTTAAGGAGGCTTTGATAAGACAAATAATATTTTTTAGTCTTTTAAGATAATAATATAAATAAGATGCTTTAGAGAAAAATATGTGTTGAAAATTACGAACTGTAAACTTTTTATTTGGGATGTATTGAAGTGCTGCAGAAATAATACTTGTTTAAATTTTATGCTAGGTGCATTCAAGTAATTCTGTTGTGTTTGTATTGAGTGGTATATGGTTTGCTTGAAGGTTTGATAAAATTTGGTCAGTATAGTTTTGCCATAATTCTTAACTCATATTTTTGTATAGGAATACTTTTTTACGAGTTCAGGTTGTAGTTCGTTTTTTTCCAGTAAATGCATATGGGAATGACCATAAAGAGACTAAGATCTTGTAATTACTTTCAGTACTAGTTTTTAGATTATCTGTATAGAATGAAGTTAAATATCGAAGAATTGGGTAGTTAGCCCATATATAATCAATACTGCTTTCATGTTTATTGCTTTACCAAGTAACTGTGGAAGACTATATATGAGTTGCCAGATTATATATATTGTTGTACTGTAGAAATTGTAGTAATTTGTATTTAATAGAAGTAGAATGAATGTTGTTGTTTTCTGTATTAAAGGCTCCTATAACAATAGGTTGCAAGTCTGCTGTTATTGCTTGTTGGATCTATTGAATGACAGTATTTTGAGTTTGTAAATGAAGTTGAGAATCATCACTAGGTAAATAAATAGAAATAATTCAAAATTTAAAGTTATGTTTAAAGAAAAGGTCAATAGTAATAGTATAGCCAGAAAAGGTAAGAATATTATATATATGGGGGTTGAATTGTTTGCTTAGCATTATGGCTGTATTAGCTTTAGAGCTATCAGTACATAACTAATAATATAAGAAGTATTTAGATTTTAAAAATTTTGTATTAGTGTTCATATTGGCAATTTTAGTTTCAGTTATACTTAAAATACTCAGATTATTAGAGAGACAATAATCTTTCCAAACTTGTTGCTTGAGATTGATATTATATTCTCAAACATTATATATACATATAGATATTTTAAGTGCTTGATTAGATATGATGTTGCTTAGTTGATTGGTGGTTAATTGAAGGTGTTCAGATAGTAGTTTATTATTATTAGGTATAGTATTTGATCTTGTAGGTGAGAATATATTGCTTATATTATTTGATTTGGAGGGAATAGGAGAATTAGAGGAATAAGTAGGTATATTTGTTTTGGATCTTAATGGAATATTGTAGGGATTATATAATATTGAAAAAATATGGTGATTAGGTAGAATATCGGAATTATCTGATAAGTATATATATGTTTCTGTTTTGTCATTGTTAACTATAATGAGAAGATAACTTGCAAGATGCTTAGTATTATTTTGTAATAAGTGTTGCCTAAATGAGTTAATTGTTTGTAGTTTTCTTAATAGAGGTAGTTAGTGGTATTTGAGATATCTATTATAGCATATTTCCAAATCATAGAGCTCTAAAGATGTTAATAATGATTTGGATAGGCTTTCTTCTGTAGAGTGCTTATCATTTTACACTCAGCTTTCATAGCTGTGAAGGTTTCTATAGTCTGCCATGTATATTTGGTCTAACTGTCATTATACTGATCCTCTGTTTATAGAGGCTTTATACCTCATTCCCTTTACTAACTACAACAGATATAGCTTTTTAGTAAGGTGGCGATTGCATTAATGTCTTATAGAAGAACTTAATTGTTTATAGTAATTGTTCATATTGTCTGTACATTATTCCTATTTAAGAGATTATTTGTTTGTGTTTGGAGTATTTGTATATAGTAATTGTTTGTAACTTATTGTTTATATTTTGTATTTAGTAATGAATATTATTATATAGTCCTACTCTATATATACGAGTATAGACCCTTATATGGTCTTATTATATCTGTCTATCTTACCATCAACTGGATATATGCCATATTTAGGATTTGTAAGCGGTTCTTCTTAATTGGTGCCCCTCAGCTCATTTATGCGTATCTAACCAGAGTCAGGTACTCCCAATCATCATTGGTATGATTGAAGATTACAGCATACACTCTATGTTCAGCATGTCCAATTAAGTTGACATTTTTGTTCTACAAGATTTGCAGATTTTTGATAATTCAACAATCATCTTTTAGTAGGAATTGAACTCTAGACCTGCTACTTAAAAGGTGACAATTTGACAACTTCACTAAGTTGCCATACCTTTATGGTAAAAAAATGTTAATAACTTCTAGATCATTTAGTTGTACAAAAAATTATATATAATTGACCAATTAAATTTAACTACAACAAAATTTTCTTATTAATTAAAAAAGTTAATTATCATTTGCCTTTTTATAATAGCTTATTGTAAAGGATCAAATAGGATCATTTAAAGTAAATATTTTATATTAGCTAATTGTATATCATTTAATATTGAATAAAAAATTATTGATTTAACTCTTTCTGACAATCCTTTGGTTAACAATAACAAAAACTAAATTATAGCAAAACGTATAGGGAGGCAACAAAATAAACACTAAACTTGGTTCTATAAGTAGAAGCAGCTTGTTATCAATGAAGTCTAAGCATCTAGATATAAAACACCAAGGAGCAAGTGTCAAAAGAATGGATAGTTTTCTTTGAGGTCAAGTTTTTTCTTCTTTGACAAACTCTCCAAAGTATTCAGCATTTAAACCAGAAGGGTTATTCTGGAAACAAGTCTGTAGAAGTAGTCAACGTGCACTTCTAAGTTGGTAAAAATGGAGAAGCTGGACTATACAACTGTAAAACTTATAAGAAGAACCTCACATACTTTTGTTGTCAACCACTTTTTTTCAAGAAAATTTTTGTAAAAAGTAAACATTTTAGTTTATCTCCTCCAAATAATTGACATCATATATACCAAACAAGTCAGCATTATTTATCTCCCAAATCGGAATGTGACAACAAACATATACATATACATGCCTCAAATGCAATGAATATCTGTATAAACAATGCTCCAAGACTTTGTTTCGACCTCTCTACCTTAAGTCAGTTAATAAAGTTTTTTTTACTTTCGCATATTAGTTTAGAGAAAAATAGAAGTAAAAACTAATTTGTCTAGTTAGTATGTAATTTTTCCAAGCCACTCACAAGCTTATAATAGTGATATTAGGTTAGGCAAAATTATTTTTTATTTTTATTTTTATTTTTCGATATCTTTTTACTCCCTTTTCTTTTGTATTTATATATTTTCATTGTATCCTCCTATACCTCTGTGTTTTTTTTTAATTCGTTTTATGTTTTTTCTTATTTTGCTTCTTGATGTAGCGGGTAGCTGCTAGCCGATAAATAATAGAAAAAAGTCTTTAGTGAGTTAAGGATCCTGAGAAAAGCCAAGAGCTACTTAGGCAAATCACGCCTAATGTATAAAATCACATAGGCAAGTATTGATTTTGGTTATACCACAATAATTGTGAAATAAAGTTCTTGTAATTTTTGAAAGACTGGTACCATAATAAACAAGGCAGACAGCCAAATTGGAAAAAAAATATTGAATAAAAAATAATATATCAAATGATCCCACAGTAATAAAAATGTTACACAATGACACAGAAATCATTCTAAAATATAATTTTCTAATTTATTAAAATCTCTGACTGTAGAATAGGTGGGCAAACTTTACAAACTCTACAACTCTGCTATTAAAAAATTAATGATTACTAATCATTAGCAAAGCTTATTTCTTATATCGCCCACTTATTCTATAGAATATCCATTTCTTCTTTTAAATAATTTTGCTTTATTGAAAATATTCAATATACTGTACTTGTTTTATAGAATATTCGTTTACAGCATGTATAGTATAATAAACTATATTTGCTTGTTTTAACTTAAAGAATTGAGTAACAAATATATCGTTGTTATTCTTGATTTAGATTTGATCTTAATTAGAGCTTACTGAGTGCGTGAGAGTGTGAAAGATTTAATGATTTACTATCGCTATGATTAATTACAGTTTTCACTCACGCACTCATTTGAATAATATTCGAATAACTTAAATCAGCCGAATAACTAATATTATTCGAATAAGTGCTATTCATTCTCGAATAAATTCCATTTTTGTTACAATTAGAGTTAATAAGGAAAAATCAATAACTGTTGATGCATCAAAAATGTCACTTTTATTATTAAACATTAAATGTCCGTTGCGCTTCGGAAAAGAAATTACGTGTGATATATTGAAAGACATATTTAGTTTACGAGTTCGGTTCAGAACCAAGCTAGGAGTTGCGGCACGTGGGAGTGACAAATGATATCGATAACGGTATAACGGATAAATTTGATAGAAATTAATGGATGTTTAGTTTTGTCCAGAAGTTTCCAGCAATACGTCATGATATACAGGGTTCCCGTAATCGTCATTCAGAAGTAGTAGTAAACAGGAAATAGATATAAGAGATACGTACGGACGCATAATCAGAAGTCTATAGTTTTTTTAGAAAAGAAAAGAACTTTTTTAACTTTAGATTAATCACAAATCTCGAGCATTTTTTATATAGAAAAAAAAAATGGTTAAAGACACAAAACTTTATGACATTCTGGAAATTTCTCCAAGTGCTGATGACAATGAAATAAAAAAAGCTTATAGGAAACTGGCTCTCAAGTATCATCCTGATAAGGTATGCACAATTATTTTTCTGCTTGTTTGTTAAAATACATCGGCTTTAGCGTTACGAATCTTTTGTCAAGATGTAAGACATAAGACTTGCAGAGCACTTTTGTGGATCAAATTCGTAGATGCTATTAGTACATCAAGTTAAATTTCCGGAAGAGTCGTGATTCGATTCAAACTGTAACGGTATATAGATTAACACTTGAATGAACCTTAGAAAAACTTGACAGAAGGTTAAACTTCGTTAATTTAAAGATAATTTTCAAATCGAATTTACTAATAAGTTTGTCACACTATTATTTTTTTTAGAATCCAGATGGTGATGCAAAATTTAAAGAAATTGCTCATGCATTTGAAATTCTTTCAGATTCTCATAAACGTGATATATACGACAGATATGGTGAAGAAGGTCTACAAGGCGATGGTGGAATGGGTATGTCACCTGAAGACCTATTCGCAAGCTTCTTTGGCGGATTTAGTCGTCGACAAACAGGTCCACGTAAAGGAAAAAATTTGAAGCATGTACTCAAAGTTTCTTTAGAGGATTTATATAATGGAAAATCAACTAAACTATCCTTAAACAAGAATGTTATTTGTAAATCCTGTGATGGTAGAGGCGGTAAAGAGGGTTCGGTTAAGAAATGTTCAGGATGTGATGGTTCTGGCTTCAAAGTTCACCTAAGAGCTCTAGGTCCTATGGTACAACAGATTCAACAGCCTTGCGGTGACTGTGGAGGTCAGGGGGAGATCATCAAGGAGAAGGATCGATGTAAGACATGTTATGGTAAAAAGGTTATCAATGAGCGTAAGGTACTAGAAGTTTATATTGAGAAAGGTATGAGGAATGGTCAAGAAATACCTTTTTATGGTGAAGCTGATCAAGCCCCCGGGATTGAGCCTGGTGATGTTATCATTGCTTTGGAGGAAAAAAAGCATGATCGTTTTGTAAGAAAGGGTGATGATCTATTTTATACGGCTAAGATTGATCTACTGACAGCGTTAGCGGGCGGAAATTTCTACATTGAACATCTTGATAATCGAGTTCTCGATGTTAAAGTAATGCCATTTGAATCTATCAGACCAAGTATGTATATAATAATTCATACATATTTTATGTCTGGAGGCTTAACTGATCCAACTTTTTATAGACGAAATTAAAGCAATTCCTGGGCAAGGCATGCCATCGCATCGTCATCATAATAAGGGTACATTGTATCTCAAATTCGACATTGAATTTCCACCTCGTTTTTGGACAGACGATAACTCAAAATTGGAGGCCCTTTCAAATATTCTTCCTCCACCCGCAAAACTCCCTCCTCCAAAACATGATCTTATCGAGACAGTTGAATTGGCAAACCTTGATAGTATTCAGCAACAAAACGCAGAGAATCTTATGAGTAATCAGCAAGACGATGAAGAAGATGGTCATGGACCAAATGTTCAATGTGCTCAACAATAATTTAATGTAGTAACTGTAGTCGATTGAAAACTTGTAAACTTAGCCGTGTCGATAATTTTGATACGGCTAAGCCGGTTTAGTCGGCTATTATATCGACAAATTAAATCTGCCAATAATATATCAAATTTTTTTAACTATAAACTTAATACGAAAACTCCCGATTGCCATGCTCGTATTTTATGTTATTTCAATAAAAAAAAATAATACATCGTTGTATAATGTTCCCTAAAAAACTAACGTTTTTGCGTAACATTCCGAAAATAAAAAGTCGTTACGTGATTTTTTGCTTAACGTTAGGTGACGGGTGGTGGGTATTGAAATAGAATATTACTAAATAAAACTAATGCTGCAATTTTATTGGTAATTTAATGTATAGAAAATATTTAGTTTATACATGAGTGCCGCTAAAAGAAACCCCGAAAATTTGAATGACTTATATTTAAATTTTCGGGTTTTCTTTTAGCGACACTCACATGTGAATATTAATTTATTAATTACTATATACTGTATGTAGATTAACCAATTTATAAAATAAAATTGTTTTTGAAATTTTAAATATTTTTTGTAGAGAATTTCTATTTGTACCTGGTAGGTATGATACCCGGTATAATTTACTAAGAAAACCATATGTAGGTACACTCCCCTGACATTGATCACCGGAATTTTGATTTTCACGTTACCTAATGATGATCGTAGCCACATATGTAA